AGCTCTTCCCCAGAGCCAGAAGGAGGCACTGCTCTAAGAACTTTATCTGTATCAACTTATTTAATCATTGCAGTAACCAGTGAGGAAAAAAGAGGCACAAAGACATTAATATGCCCAAAGTCATTTAAATGGGAAATTGTGTGGTCAGAATTTCTCTTAGGGAGTCTGGCTCCAGGGTCTATGTTATAACATTCATACACAGTATCTTTTACACAGTACTGCTCCACTAAAGAGATGAAAGCTTCCAGAATTCCATTGGTAAAATCCTGTTGAAAAGGTTATTTTCTTGCAGACTATTTTTGGCTAATGCTTAATTAGTAGCTGGGAAATGCAGAATGACTGGGGAATGCTGGGTAACCAGGAATGCTGGATAAATGGGGGAATGCTGGGTATTTGGGAATGCTGGGTAACTAGGAATGCTGGATAATAGGGGAATGCTGGGTAATTGAAAATTCTGGATAGTCAGAGAATGCTGGGTAACTGGGGGCAGGGAGGGGAGGGACAAGAATTCATTAGTTAGCAGCTCACCCTAAGCATGCTTCTAGTAGCTGTAAACCAGAGGGTTACAGAACCTGGGACTGCTGCAATATTGGTGATCCTCACATAAGATGCTTCAAATCAGTACTATCTTTGAATCAGAAGGATATATATTTAAAGATGCATTTTACTTCAAATCTTTAACTGTATTTAAAATTCACAGTTTTCTAGCACTTGCTGAATATACTTATACAATAGCAGAGAGGAGACATTTCAGGGAAAGCATATTGCTTATTTATGAATTCATTTATTTTTTACTTAAGACCGAAGACTTTGTGGGTGAGTGGGTTAGCAGAGAGAACCTTTAGTCTTTCCAATAGGAAATTTACCACTGAGCTCTGATACATATCCTAGCCAGGGGACACTTTTGCTTTGTCCTGGAAGCCATCCGTTGCTGAGGCTGGTTACTCAAAGAAGGCAAAACGTCTCATCAATATAAAAATGTAGTTTGTCCCATCTTGTGTTACTAATGCAGTTATTAAGGACTGGAGGTGCAACATTGCTTAGCAACATGCATAATAGTATTTACTATTATTTTATTTGAGCAGCAGCAGCAGTACTATGTCTTGTAAATGTTGTAGTGACATTTTATTTTCCTTCTCATTTAACATTACTTGTATCCATTGCCATGGTATTAAGCAAAATGCTTAGTCTGTGGCAGGTAGAGTGGATTTACATACACTCCCTTAAGGACAGAGATCAGCCCTGAAAGCTGGCATTAGCCCAATATAAAACCAAAAGGAAATTAGTCTGCAGGTAAGAAAAAGTAGTAAAGGATTCCTACAACTGTCATGGTCTATATGGAGCTTCTAATTTTCACTACCAGCAAGTATATCATGGTGGTGATGTCCTGTGAGATGCAGGAACTTGCTATACTGTTCAGGACATTTGTTTTGTTGTCTCTAATCTTTCAGGCAGCAACTAGTGTTCATAATATTACACAGCCATCAAAAACGATGAATTCGTGTCCTTTCTAGGGACATGGATGAACCTGGAAACCATCATTCTCAGCAAACTGACACAAGAACAGAAAATCAAACACCGCATGTTTTCACTCATAGGCGGGTGTTGAACAATGAGAACACATGGACACAGGGAGGGGAACATCACACACTGGGGTCTGTCAAGGGGAAATAGGGGAGGGACAGCAGGGGGTGGGGAGTTGGGGAGAGAGAGCATGGGGAGAAATGCCAGATATAGATGATGGGGAGGAAGGCAGCAAATCACACTGCCATGTGTATACCTGTGGGACAATCTTGCATGTTCTTCACATGTACCCCAAAACCTAAAATGCAATTAAAAAATTAATAATAAAAAAGCAGACATAATCCCTATTTCCTCCTAATGAAAAGACAGCACTTTCACTAATGACAGTGCTAGCACTCCTTTGTCATTTACACTTTACCCTGTGTGTTGGAGAACAAGTTGATGTCTTGGAGATTTTGATCTGGGTGGACTTCTATCCAATCCCTCCTTTCTTCTCCAAAAAAGAAGAGCAACTGTACATCTGTGAATTGGGGCATTCCTCTACTACTTTCCCTTTTTCTGTCTCCACAGTCATCCTAGCTTGATCTCTTAAATCCTGGTATTCTAACTTGACTTCTGCTTGGGGAAGAGCAAGAAATCTCAGAGGTTAGGACCATCTACCTGGAAAGACTGTCCCTAGAAGAGTTGAAAAATTGTGAGAGGAAAGAGAGGCCAAACTTCTCTCATAAAAACAGTAGAGAAAGAATCAGTTCACCTCTACAACAGAGGCAGCCATTCATCCTGGAGGGGAGAGATGTTCCACTTGTGATTGTCACCCGGTGATTGGTGTCTTTTCAATTCCAGGACATGTGGAGGTGCTTTAGGGATTTGAATCAGTGAGCAGATTGTTTAGTTCTTTGTCCTTCCCAGGAAGGGGTCCTAAATATGGACATCTTCCTCATGCCATTCAGTTTTTGGTGCCTTCCGTGTCCTTGGCTTTGCTTTTGCTTTGTTGTGTCTTAGAATCATTAATTAATTATGGACCCAGTTCCTTCTGCACCTTTGCTAATTGGATGTTTTGAAAAATTGCTCCATGCTGGTTTCAATAATGAGGAGAGAATTAAAAGGCTAAGAAGTGCTGGGAAAGATAGGCTGACAACAATGGTTGTGGAAATCTAGTAAAAACCACCAGTTATTCACCCAGCAACCAGGGGACACGGAGCACTGAGCAGAGCACTTAGAAAAAAATACAATGAAGTGATGAAAGGGACAGGGTCGGTGAGGGTGCCTGTTTTTTAGAAGAACATTTGCAAGGAGGAAAATCCTGTGTGAAGGGTGCATTGGCTGGACAGCTTGAGCTAGCTGCTGCCTCCTGTTGAGGAGAGGAGTTCCCTGAACGGGACGAGGGGCCAGGACTTTGGAGTCCAGCATCCTGACATCTGTGTCTGGACTCTGCCATTTACTGGCTGTGGGAGTGGAACAGATGACTTTACTCTGATCATCCAGTTCTTCATCTGTGAAATGAAAAATAATAGTGGGTACTTGTGTCATGGTGTTGTGGGGAGGAATAAGTGAGATCAAGTTGGTCAGAGTGTCTAGACTACTTCCCGGCACACAGCAAACTCAGTACTGGCTTGTCATTATTATTATGCAGTTATGTTGTCAATTTAATGATGTAATAATAAAATATTAACATAGGTAACATGCTTAGCCTGGCATAGCTCAGAATTTAAAATACTTTGTAGGATAATTATTGTTTCCATTTATTTCTCTCCTTTCTCTTTCTGGTCAGTTTATTTTTTCCCCTTACTCCTCTCCCTCCTCTTCTACTTAGGAAGAGGAGAGGAGTCAAAAATTGGATAAGAGGTGGGGCACAGTGACTTGTGCCTGTATTCCCAGTGCTTTAGGAGGCTAAGGCAAGAGGATCACTTGGGCCCAGGAATTCGAGACCAACCTAAGCAACATAGTAAGACCTCGTCTCTATAAAAAATTGTTTAAATATTAGCCAGATGTGGGCGCATCTGTAGTCCTCACTGTTAAGGAGGCTGAGGCAGGAGGATCACTTGATCCCAGGATTTGGAGGTTAGAGTGAGCTATGATTGTACCACTGAACTCCAGCCTAGGCAACAGAGGGAGACTCTGTCTCAGAAAAAAAAACAAAAATTGATTAAGGAAAGTGCAGCTGTTCATGTGGGGGCTTTTGGTTGTTGGGATATAGCAGAAATGTGGGAAAAGCTGAAAGAGGCCGTCAGCATCCAGCTGGCCAGATAACACATGGAAACCCTTCCCAGTGTGTATCCTCTCATTCTGGGCTGCTGCTTATCTGGCAGTTAGACATAGGTGATTTGCAATTTCAGATACTAGACTTTCTCTTCCATTAACACGTAAACCTTCACAATGGAAAAGTTTGTTGTGTCTTTTGTTTACTGCTAATTCTCTAGTGTCTAGATACAGTTATCAGCTCCACCTTTGGGCTGAACCTCCTGAAAGTCCTCAAACGGGCCTTCAAGTTCTGACACAATCTCCCCCACCCCATGTGACCTCTCTGATTTTATCTCCTACTACTCTCTAAAATCTAGCTGGATATATTCAGAGCAGACAAGACTTTTAGGGCATATAAAAGACATCTAGCAGCAAAGTATAGTAGAAAGATTTAGAATGAATCATGTTTGAAGTCTAAGTTCTAGTTCTGCTACTATTTCCTGGGGTGAAACTGAGCCAACTCATGTGACCGTTCTAGGCTTTAGCCTCTACACTGAAAGAGTTTTGGATCAGGGTGCTTCTAATTGTAAATTTAATGGCAATGCTGTCCTTGGTTATAGCAAAATATAAAGTTGATTTATCCATTCAGAAACATTTCTGTGTATTTTTGGTCCCTGGTGTGAAATTGTGAATCCTAGCCTGGTGATTCATAGGCTAACAGCTGCTTTCCCACCCTCTACCCCAAGCTCAGGGCTTTGCAAAGGGGGCGGCAGTATGTCCAGAGCTGACATCATGCTTCGTTCTTCCGAGGTCCAAGTCATTTCCATCAAGCAGCATTTCCCAGGCTTTTGTCATTCAGGTTTCATCTACATGATTTTCACTACATCACGTTCTAGCTATAGTATTTTTTACTTAGTGTCTTTCTTTAAACAACTTCCTCTTTATATTTTAACTTGCACTTGCCCTAAGCAGTGGTTATAGCTGTGAATAGCTTTGAAATTGGATGTGCCAGCTATATTTTTTTCTAAAGCACATGAAAATACACAACCACAATCCACCGTAACTATGTACCACTAAAATTGTCTTGAGTAACTCCAGTGGTTTGCCTTTCACACACTGGGAAACACCACCATGAAGAGGGACAGAGCTCTGGAGCTTCACCATCTTCAGTGTCCTTCCAGTGACCTTAAACCTTGGGAGGAAAGAAAAAGCCATTCTCAATGAAAATCTAGGGGAGCCCCTTCCAAGGCATTGGAGATTATTCACTTTATTTTGGTTTGGAATGTAGTGCAGAAATGACTAAGCCTTCCCTAGAGGCCAAGGGCTGCTGGAAAGAAGAAAGAAAGGTATTTTGCTGGCTTAAAACATAGAAGTCAATGGCAAAGCAATATGCTGAAGGGAAAAAGCAATTAAATGAAGCAAAATAAAACAGCAGAAAAGTGAGAGGAGTGGTGGGGGAAGTACTGCAGAGAAATGCAGATGCTCACAGAAGCAAAGCATTAGTGGAAGGTGAGAGACTTTGCAGAGATCCTCAGTTCCTCCTCATTTGGGACTTACGGAGTCTCTCTCTCTTACAATGTGAGAACTGATTAGATACACACAAAGGCTCAGCTCGGAGGCCCAAAGGATGGCACTCTTCAATACACTTCCTGCTATTTGGATCATGCTCTGAACACGTCAGCTCCTCCATGACATATAGTTTTGGCATGAAAGATAGATTTAAGACTAATAGAAAGAGTTAGAAATGACTGTGGACTTTCTCTACACCTTTTCATGCTTGATTAAGAAAGGGAAGGACGTTAGCCTTTATCATAATGTAGATTTGATTGACTTAGGCCCACATATCTGCAAGGGTCAGCCAAATTTAAATTGTAAACATGCTTTTAGAAAATCTGAATTCCGCAGCACAACTGGTTTGAGCAATTGGAAACAAGATGTAGGACCAACACAGGCACTAGTGGAATTACATCTTATGCAAAAAAGGCATCTCACCCAACAAGGAAAGTCTGAAAGAATTAGAAGAGGAGACAGAAGGGGAGCATTGCATCCTCCAGCAGTCAGTGGTGACAACATATGAAGATAGGACTTTGGAAGAGCCGGAGGATCATGAAGATGAGTTTAATGAGGAGGATGAACATGTTATTGAAATATACAGATGGCAGAGACTGGCTGAGTGGAAAGCAACTAAACTGAAGAATAAATTTGGAGAAATTTTGGAGATCTCAGGGAAGAACTATGTTCAAGAAGTTACCAAAGCCGGTGAGGGCTTGTGGGTCATCTTGCACCTTTACAAACAAGGAATTCCCTTCTGTACTGTGATAAATCAGCACCTCAGTGGACTTGCCAGCAAGTTTCCTGATGTCAGATTTATCAAAGCCATTTCAACAACCTGCATGCCCAATTATCCTGAAAAGAATCTGGATAGATTCCTTTACCTGGAAGGAGATATCAAATCTCAGTTGATGGATCCTCTGGTGTTTGGCGGCATGAACCTAACAAGAGATGAGCTGGAGTGGAAACTGTCTGAATCTGGAACAATTAAGATGAACCTGGAGGAAAACCCTAAGAAGCTGGTTGAAGACATGTTGCTCTCCTCAGTGCTGTGCGCTGTCCCCAGAAGAAGGGACAGTGATTCCGAGGGTGACTGAGGCTGCAGCTGCTATCACTTGCTGAACTTTCTTGTGACAAATTGTCTGGATTTTTTTTTAAAAAGGAAGAAGCAAGAATGAATCCTTCTGGTTTTTAGTTTTATATATTATGTTTTAAATCTTTACATTTTAGAAATAATCATTCCTCAAGTTCTGTTAAATATTTTGGAACTCTTTTTATTTTTAACTATAGTATTTCCTCTAAAAAAAATTAAAACCAGCTATTGGTATGGAAAAAAAATTTCTGAATTCCAGAGGATTAAAATATCTCTGTTTGGGAACATCTCCCCTGGCACACAGCTGAAGTAAGTGCCTGCAGCTGGTCCCAGCCCTGTAGAGGGGAACTGTGTTGAGGTCTAGCATGCATTGTGCTAGGCCCCTGTTGAAGCTGATGAGTCCCAATCTAGAATTTTGATTAGGAGGAGGGAGGTATGTTAGAAGCCAAGTCAGCTGCACAAAGGCTGATTGGGGGAAAACAACAACAACAACAACAACAACAATAAAAACAACAAAAAAAATCTGTATTGTTTTGTGCTTTTCCAGATTTTTCTGTTTAAAAATAGTGCCCATTAAGAGGGAGTGCTGATGTCATTTCCATCCTTTCCAAAAGGGGACAGGAACTGGGAACCTCTGAGGTAACTAGGTATGGTCCATATAGCAGATAGAACAGATTCAGCCAAAAGACAAGAAGCTCTTTGTTAAGCTGTGCCAGGAATGCTATCAGTTACTGTTTCCAGGGATGAATTTTAGGGGAAACCTAAGAATTAAATTGCACTCAAAGCACATGAAATGCAGTTTCATATACTGTTTTTCTAAAACCTCAACTAGGATATTTATAATAAGGTTTTGGTTTCTTTCCAGACTTGAGAGAACATTCATTTGAAGTTACATTTTTCAGGTCAATTTCGGCCAGCTGTTCTTTAGATATCTCATGAACATTTTCTTTCTTCTTTCTTTTTTTTTTGGTAGAGCATAGTCCCTTGAACGCTTTTTGAACCTTTTTGGTAGAGATTGTTTCTTTCCTCATTCCCTCGTTATTTTCTCTTCTTTACTTTATTCCTGAGAATCTTTAGAGGTTGACCTATAAGCCAAATCCTCTTTCTCCAGACCTTTGCCTTCAACAAAACAAAACAAACAAATCATCTTTCACTTTTCAGAATTTACAAGACTCTGTCAATGCTTTGACTAAGTCCAACCTTTGTGTAGAGTACATGAATCTCAGCAGGAGCAGTGCTGAGTTGGCCTCTTCCAGAAGGGAATTCACTGCATGGGTGTGGGCCACTGAGTTAAAGTGAGTTTCAGGTGCTACCCTTGCCTGATTCCTGAAATGGTTCAAGCAAAGTAACAACTCAAATCATTGGAATCAGGAAAAAAAAGGATTATTAAGTGCCTTCTCTTTTATTTGATTTTTATTCTTGTTTATTTGTTTCATATGAACTTTATGTGAACAAAGGGATCTTGATAAGTACATGCACAGCCAAGCCAAGCTTTAACAGAATCCCCTAAGATAAGACAGAAACTATGGGAAAAGGTTTTCTTACATTTGTTCTGTCTATCCTCTGAAACACTCATTTCTAACATTGCTCTTTAGTAGGGAAAAAAAGTCACTTTTATTTATATCTAAACTATTGAAGTAATTATATTTCTGATGGGAAATTTTTAAGTATATGAAATTAAGAGAATGATAGGAGGCTGAGTTGGAAAGAACACAACATCTAATTCAGTCCCCTCTTCTTCTGGTGAATTAGTTGTGCCCATGCTCATGAACTAGTATATTTTCTGCTTTTAATTTCCTCAATTTTCAAACTGTAAAATAAAATATTATGGTGTCTATTTCCTGGGAACAGAAAACACATGTAAATGTTTGAGAAATTTGATTTGAAGCTTGTCAAAAAGATACATGAAATCAAGCCCCAGTAAAATATTGTTCTTGCTTGTATCTGGTTTTTCGTGATTTCATTAAATTATTCTTTGTAACACACTCATGAATGATTTTATAACAAATACATAAATGGGGGGATTACTTGTATGCCATTATGCTAACAATACCTAGAATTTTGGTCATTGCACAGATATGACACTTAAAAATTAGTATACATGTGTAGACTTTGGTTTAAGTCTTTTATTAAAACAGGGCTTTGAGCCTGTATTGTTATCAATTAATGATTGTTACCAATTAACATTTGAGGGTTCCTGAGGCAACAGTACAGATAGAAACCTGCAGCCCCTCACCTTCTCTTTCCTTCCCATCCCTGGCTCTTTGGGGCAGGACTCTCATGCAATCAAGCTGTATTAGTTTTCTGTAGCTGCTATAACAAATTAATCACAAATGTAGTCACCTAAAACAGTGCCAGCTTATTATCTTGTGGTTCTGAAGATCAGAGTCTAAAATCAAGGTCCCATCAGGGCTGCATTCCTTCTGGATGCCTTATGGGGAGAATGTCTTCCCTGGCCTTTTGCCACCTCTCTAGGCTGCCCACATTCCTTAGCTCAGAGCCCCTTTATCTCATCACTCCAACCTCTTACTTCCATCACCACATCTCCTACTGCTGACTCTGATCCTCCTCCCTCTCTCTTGTAAGGATTCTTGTGATTACATTGGGCCTCTCCAGATCATCCAGGATAATCTTCCCATCCTGAGATCCCTAACTTAATCACATTGGTGAAGTCTCCTTACCATAGAAGGCAGCATATTCATAGGCCCTAGGGATTAGAATGTGGGTGTCTTTGGGAGGCCTATCTCCAGGCTCACATAGTTCCAGCTCCATCCTTTACCATCGCTGCCCCTACGCTAGAACTGTTTTGTCTGCTCTTGGGAGGATCTCCCCAGGCAAGGGCTCACACAGGCGCTAACAGTGGCCCTGTTACCAGTAGAGGGTCTTGACTGCAATTTGTCCAGGTTCTTGGCATTTTGAACAAATAACAAAATACACAGCAAAGCAAGGAAAGAACGAAGCAGTGAAAACAGAGATTTATTGAAAATGAAAGTATACTCCACAGGATGGGAGTGGGCGAGCAGTGGCTCAAGGACACTGGTTACAGGATCTTCTGGGGTCCAGATACCCTCTAGAGGTTTTCCACTGGGCACCCAGCATACATCCTGTGCAAATGAAGTAGTTGCCTCTGCTCAGTCTGATTGGTTGCTTTCTGAAACCAATCAGAGACTGAAGTCACAAAATTATACTCCTATGCAAATGTCTGATTGGTTGTGGAAAGCAACCAATTAAAGGTGCTTTCAAGTTTCCTTCTGTCATGCTGAAATGGGGGAGGTTTGCAAAGAGAGTAGCCTTTGGTTCTTTTGTAACTTAAGTATGAAAAGTTGGAGTTTTCCTTTTGATTTAGTTCTAGGAAGTCAGCGGCAATCAGCCTTAGGTTCCCTGCCTCCAGACCCTGTTCTCCTGCTTTAGCTCAGGCCAACTGTACAGGGAATTCCAGGATACACAGAGAGTTGTCAGGGTTTAGGAGAAGGTCAGAGGAAGCTCAGTGTGGGCACAGGACTCGCAGACTTTTTGATGCATGAGGAGGAGCATAGACAAAAAAAGGTGAAAGTGGGGCCCTCTAAGACTAGAGGACCAGAGCAGGGGGCAGATGCTGGCATCTACAAGCAGTGTTTCTCCAGCAGCCAGGGAAGTGGCATGATTGGATGCCTGGAGGTGGGCTGTGGGCAAATGGAGACTGTTGGACCCTTCTAAAGCAGGCAGTAGAAATACAGTGCCAAGGAAGGGGCCCAGTGTTGCTATATCTTACCAAAACCAAAAATCTACTTTCATTTTGTTTCAAACAATGTGCAGGCGCTCCACTAAGTAGTGGAGGGGGGGGACCAGATATGGCTCTCAGCCCTCCAATTTGCAACTGACCCCTGGTTCAAATGAGTGAGCACAGCATACCTTGGCACAGACGACATTTTATTGAATAAGTGAACAATGAACTTCAATGTCAAATTCAGAAATGGTGCATTAATTAAATTACCCGAAGCTGAAAAATTCATCCCTAATTATGTCACATTGTTCAGTAGGCTCATCAGAGATGTAGCAGGGAGATAATATGACAACTTTGAGATAAATATTAATAAAATGCCCACAATATGGCAATGCCTTCAATTTGTATAAACCCTTTTCTATTACAAATTTCACAGACAGAAAGTTTACAAATTAAATCCCCTTGCCAGTGAAAATTCCAAAGTTAAAGTCCAAAGGAATTGAAGTCAAAAATTGAAAGCTCTCCTCCTGTGGAGTTAAAAACCCAAAGGAAATCGAAGTTCCATCACTAAGGTGAAGTCCAAAATTACTTCAGAAATTTCTAAGAAGTTGTTCCATCATCACTTAGTCGTTTGACAATAATTTATGGAGCTTCTGCTGTCCACCAGGCACTGAGCTAGGTCCTGGGAATAGAGCAGCGAAAAGGATACAACCATGCCCTTATGGAGTTGACATTAAATCGGAAACAACACAAACAAGTAAAATATGTAGTATTTTAGGTAGTGATGATTGCTAAGGAGAAAAAACATAGGAAAATTGAAGATGGGCAGTTTGAAATTTTAGGTAGAATGGCCAAGGTTAGTTCTATTGAGAAGGTGACTTTTGAGAAAAGGCCTGAAGGAAATGAAGGAAGTAGCCAGGCAGAGACTTGGTGGGAGACCGTGCCAGGACGAGGGATTATCCAGGACAAAGGCTGGTGTTGGGTGTGGCCTGGCGTGCTTGAAGAATAGTGGAAGGTCAGAGTGGCTGGAGCGGAGAAAACAGAGACGGGGGATTGTAGAAGGTGGTGGTCAGAGGAGAAAAGGAAGCCAGAGCATGGAGGGATCTTAAAGATAACTCTGGCACTCACTCTGAGTAGGATGGGATTGCTTGGAAGATCTTGAGCAGAGGAGCGACATGCTCTGACTTGAAGTCAGACCTCTCTGGCTGCTGTATTCTGAAGAGGCTGAAGAAAGTAAGGACAGAACTAGAGACAACAGTTAGGAGGCCATTGTAGTACCCCTTGGAATGGCTGGTAGTGTTAAAATTTGGTGGTGGAAATGGTGGTAATAGAGAAGAGGTCAGAACCTGGATCTGTTTTGATAGTATAACAGGATTTTCTCTTGTATCTGGGCTATAAGGAAATGAGAAGTTATGAACGCCACCATGGTTGTGGTTTAAACAACCAGAATGGAATTGCCATTAAGAGAGTGGGAATGACTGGGAAGGAAACAGCTTGAAGGAAAGATCAAGAATCTGGGGACATATGAAGTCCTAAGCATCTATTAGGCAAAAGTAGATGAGTAGGTATTTGAAGATATCTGGAGTTCAGGGGAAAGAGCCAGACTGGAGATACAAATTTGGTAATTGTCGGCATGTGGATTTTATTTAAAGCCTCAGGACTGGATGAGATTCCCTGGAAAGTGTGTGTGGATGGAAAAAAGAAGAGTTTCTAGACGGAAGCTCTGGGTGACTTCAACATAGAGATCAGGAAGATGAGGGGGAACCAGGCAGGGAAAATCATTTGGGAAGGCAGGAATTAGAAGTCATTTCATGGAGAAGGTACTGACCAACTGTGTCAAATGCTGCTGGGACGCGGGAGAGTGAAGGCTGAGAATTGACCATTGTCTTTAACAACATGGAAGTTAATGGAGACTGATATGGATGGTTGCTCTGGTGCCTGGGGACAGCTGAGGCTCCTTCAACAGCTCCAGCCTGGCTATCTTCCAGGAATGGATGTAGTTCTCTTAAGTACTGAAGCACTAGGAAATAGACCCAAAATCACCCAAGTAGATCACTTTTTAATACATCTGAAGAGTTGATAGTCGACCTAAGATTATTATAGAACCAGCCCCATCCACTTAAAATTTAAAATAAGACAGTCTCTGGCTCCTAAAAAATTATTTTAGGCACAAGGATAGTCCCCAAACCAAGTATTTATTATTTTCATAGACCATAGCAGAAATACAATGGCACTGAGTAATGGAGGGTAGGTAGAGAAAAGTCTTGATTTCATTTGCACCAGGATCCAGTAAACCTACCGTACGGGAGAGCATGACTTGTGAATTCACACTTAATGGAAGAAATATCACATGCAGAAACATCACCACTGCGGCCACCCAGAAAGAGAGAGGAGAGAAAGAGAGAGAGAGAGAGGAGAAAGGAAACCCCAGCGACTCTCCCCACAATATAAACCTCCTTAAAGCACAGGCTATGGCCATGCAAGTGTTCATGTTTCCTGCAGGCAGCTGACACCCCAAAGAGAAACAATGAGTGAGGAAGGGCTGAGGCTCCACATTCCTAGTTTCTATCCCCAAAGAATTGATGAGAGAAAACACGGCTTCTCCCTCAGGACCATGAGGCAGGGAGAAGAGAGGCTAGAATAGCCCTCCAGGTGTCCTCCTAAACAGAAACTCAGGGAAAAGATTTGACTTCTGTGCCTCAAACTCCAACAAACAGCAGGAAAGGGAATTCAAACCGTTTTAACTTGATTGGTTCTTTGGTATAAAATTGATTGGGAATAATGATAAATTGTCTTTGGCCACAATGAAATTAGAAACATGAGTTTCCATCATTCAAAATCTCTCTTAGTCTGGATGTAGAATATTTATACACATCATCTTAGATGTGCATGTGTGCATGTCTGTCCATTATCAGGGAGAAACTAGAACCCTCTTACTTCTTGTTGACTCCTTGAACTGTCCCATCTGCTGATGAGAACACTTATTATAATAAAAATATTCTAACCAATCTGTTATAAACTCAAATCTATTTTGAGTCCTTCGTTTAAGACAGATAAAGATTATAAGGACTTTTTGTCCTTCTAGAAAATTGGAACAATCCTATCAGGCCATAGAAAATATGGCTTTTCTTGTCAAGTGTTTATAAAGACGCTGTTTGTTGTTACCTTAAAATGCCTGTCTCACCTCTCTCTCTCAGAACTCTCTCCTTTACTCTGTCAGCATTTAAGATTCTACTTTTCCATGGAGGCATCTGTAAGTAATCCCACCTGCCCTCATCGGCA